TTTTAAGTGTTGCCCCAAGGAAATGCAAGCTTACATCTTACCAAATGCCTCGGTACTTCTAACACTAAGGAAATCTGTGCAGCTTTCGCATGTACACTTTAAATGTGATTTTTTTCCCTATTTTGTTTTCACTCTTATTTCAAGGCCTTTGCCCAATCCTGTGTTTTCCTGTAGAATCTGTTACTGTAGTACCTAAAAGGTCTTCCCAGCTAAATTATGCCTTCTTGCAACAGTTGGTCGTGGAATTGATTTACCTTTTTTTTTTTTCTTCTTTCTTGTTAAGATTTCTTTCAGGGAGATATTTAAGCAAATGCCAGCTCTGCAAGAGACATGCTGCACATGGAGAAAGAGAGTGCTATTCTATCCTCACACTGTTTTCAGTGCAGTGCTGTAGTGTGGTGTGCAAAAGTCATTCCACCCTGAAAAACTGGAATAAGAGATAAGGAAAAACCCGGACACATTGCAGGCTGCCATAACACTGTTCCAGTATCAGATTAAGGACCCCTAGCATAGTAGTATGCTGATAATCCACCAAAACATGCATAATAGAAAATCTGAGAGAATATGAATACTAGACTCAAGTGAATACTACTTTTAAGAATAGTCAAACAACTTATTAGACACATTTTTATGGAAAAATCCTTTGGATGGCAGAATTTGTCTTGTCTGTTAGACATCATTGGTATTTCTGTATTTAATACTAAATGAATTGTTCACATTCAAAAATATTTTAGACTGATTAATCTACATGATCACAAAGATATAATAGCCCAGTATTCTGCACTTATAGAAACATAGAAATCTTTTGTTATAGTAATGGAAAAAATGTAAATAAACCTGGCTATATTTATACTGTGCAATTGTAGAAGACAAGTATGGTTTTTTCAGCTGTGCCATGAGAAAGAAGTTACACATCACTTCATTAATTTTTTCCCTCAACTGTATTATAAATCAAGAAATTTATTTTGATGATCACAAGAATGGCTAAGGGGGAAAATAAACTAAATAATAATATTAAAATAAATGAAATAATAATATTGAATCATTCTTCCCTGAAAACAATATTTTTTTTTTCCCGTTCATTGCTGTTCCCATATCCTAAATCATTCTCCCCAGCTACAGCACAATAGGTTTCATCAGAATTTTTTTCAGCGGTGTGTGAAATTAGATCTAAACAAAGAGCTGACTTTGTTACTGTAAAGTGAACCCTGGATGTATGAGAATCCAAATAAAGTTAAATTACTGTTAAATAAAGTCAGTGTATTAAGAAATATGCTTTTTACATGTTTATAATGTAGGCATCTAGGCTTCACTTATTTCTGCCCCTCCACAGCACACTAAAATTATCAGGCAGTTTTCCACCAATCTCGGTGAGTTCAGGGGGAAGAGATCTCTCTCCCTCTGTCTCACTACATTGGTGGAGTTTTATGTAGAAAGTTAGCATCTCTTCATTTTCCTGGCCCAGACTGATTTATCAGAAGTAATGTTTCAGGAAGTTACAAAATGGCAATACTGGTTCCACTGTACTTCTCTAAGCTATGTCTCCAGAAGCTTTTTACTGTATTTAGCATGATTTTACATACCTTTGCAAAAGATCAGCACAGAGCTAATGTCCACAGGAAATTCCAGACTGAAGACGTATAGGTTAAATAGTCTGCAGGTAGTTCTCAACCATGAATCTTACCAACAAGGACTATAGAGGTAGCTCTTTCTCTATCTCAACTGAATGAGGTGATTTTGTTTTTTTTTTTTTTTTTTAAAAAAAGATTGCCAAATTAAAACTAATGTAATACTTACATTATGCTCTAAATATTTTCATTGACATAAATACTGTAGTTCATGGAATACCAAATTTCCTTTTTCCCACTGAGGAACTGTGCACACCACAGCCCTATAATATGAACAGCCCTATATTTATTTTTATGTGTGTGTGTGCATGTGTGTGTACATGTACAGACGTGACTGGGCATGCAAACAGAGAATGCAGGAGGCAGAGAAATGTTTTACATCCCAGGGCATATATGCAGTCAGACTGTACCTGTTCTTATGTGCATGTCTGCTTTGGAAAGTGGCTGATTGGCCTGTCCATTTCAGCTTGCTGGTGAAAGGAAGAACTGAAGGGCCTTACCTTAGTAAGCTCTGGCCATGACTACATGGAGTCGCTGCTGAGATATCGGAAAAAGCCTGAAGCATTGGCTTTCAACTTGGCTGAACTACAACTGGCCAGTAACACCCCAAACTCTGTGATGAAGGTGGCTGTTATGCAGATTTGGGTGCTCGGCAATGTTGGTGCAGGGTTTACAAGTTTGCTGTGTGCAAGACAAAGAACTGGGAATGCGTGGGCGCAATAGCCACACTAGTCCATTCTTGAGCTTCTCTTTTTATCATTCTGAGTGTGAAGCAGTTTCTGGCTCTGCCTGTGACTACCTGCAGAGTCCTGTGTACTAAGAGTCCTGTCACAACCTCTCTTCAGGCAGGCATCCAATTCTTGCCATGGTAGCATGGTCATCCCAGTAATTAAAGGGGTAACACATCCTACTTTTACCACAGAGTGCACATAAAGTATGCATTGCATGGGGGCACTGGGGCATACCATGCTATAAACTCCACCAGGTTGCCTGGAGGCATGTATGTTGGCAGAGTTGGGCAGCCCCACATGAGGGTGCTACCAGTCTCTAGATTGTCCTGACTGCACAAAGGGTGAAGAAAATGGATGGCCTTTAATAGGTGTGTTCAATAGACTTCACATGTCTTCCCAGCGTCCTGCATGTGATATGTTCTCGTGATGTTCCCAGATGCAGCAGAAGGCCAAAGCAAGGAAATTTCACCTCAAGGACATAGCTGCACATACAGTAACAAGACAGTATAGATCGACATTGATTTAAAGGTATCTTATATGGGTAGAGTTTATTTTTGTCTTCCTTTTAAACTACACAGTACGCAGACTTCTAAAGGTCATTGTCACTGTAGCACCCGTACAGTTAGAGTATGCAACATCTACATCTATGCAAGATTCACACTTCTCTAGGCAGAGCTGTATGAGGAGTGGTTGTTTAAGGAAGATGACAGTTTGCTGACTCCACGGGCTGGCTTGCTGCTGGACACAGCTGCATACAGTGAGTTAAAAGAGGCGACATCAGTATTCCAGCACCATAGCCTCCTGGCAGCCTTGCACCTGCTTCCATAGGAATGAATGACAATACACCGACTGACTTTTGCACCAAAGAAGAAAACAATAAAATCCCTGTTGTAAACAAAAATCAATAGACTGGAATTCCAGTTGTCTTTATCTGCCTCTTCCTTGCCCTGGAGGGGCTGAATACCAGAATGAAATGGTAGGGGAAAGCAGATAGATCAGAATTCGACCCTAGAGGTTTACATCAGCTGAAAGTTACCCTCTTCACCAAGAGAAATCGCAGCAGATTAGTGTGGCCAGAATGTCAAATACTACGTAGGAGACAGACCACAACCGAGTATTTTGTCATCGTAAATAGGTAATCAGTAACAAAGATCTACTTGATACTTATTTGTTCTTTAGAAAAGACATTACTGACATTTATTTTAGAGGATAGGCCCCAGCAGTACATGGAAGTATCCCAGGTAACAGGCAAGGATACCACACAATGTTGGTATACAACCAAATAGGTTCTGTTCCCCATTGTCAGTGATTCCAAGAGATATATATTCAAAACACCAGAAATTCAAAATAGTGCATTTGGGGTTGACATGGAAAATGTCAACTTGTTCCCTCTCTCCCCTACAGACAGCTTTAGGGTTTATTTTTACTGATATACATTTAACTATAGTTTGGATCAGATTGGGGTCGGGGAGAGAGTTTTGTAACTTTTATACATAACTTTATATTTGTTACATTTATATGCAACTTTTACATACATGCTTTCATCACAATGTTTATAGTCCGCGTCAAAGCAAAGAAAGCAAAGCTAAAATATAATTTCTTTCAGGAATTCTGTAACAGCAAAAACCTTTTAGTAATGTTTTTCTGCATGTGCAATTATTCTAATTGCTTGCATCATTAAGTACACCTCAGACTATGTTATTAGACCAGGAACAGTTTGGTGAAGAGTACTTTAAAACTCATTTACTTACTTATGCATATATCCATCTGCGTTTCCTGTTAAGTTCATCTGCATAACAGTCTGAAATTCTGTCTCATTGCAGCAGTATTTAAATACTGTGTTGTTATGGTGACAGCAAAAGATATAAGATTTATTGTCAGAAAGACGGGGGCAGTGAAAACCAAAGTGGTAGCGACCTTTGTAGTCCGTGTATGGCTCGCAGACCCGAAAATGCGCGGACAACGCTGTAAAACAGAGAACAATATTAGCTTTGTGAGTCACTTGTGTTATCTGTTTGTTATGAACTATAATTTTTCATTGGTTAAACTCAAACAATTGGTGTTTGATTTCTGAAAAAACATTAATATTTCAGAACTTACAACATCATAACATATAGTACTAAAAGACTACAATATTTAGCCTCCTGTTGTATTTTGACTTTCATTATTACTATGTTTCTGATTGCTATTATTTCTTTTCAGGGAAGAGAAGAAATGCCCTCCAAGCCAAGAAGCACGAAAATATTTAAGGAAATGTTTTCATACTGCTGTTCTAAACATGGATATCCATAAACACCCAACAATATTCATGCTTGATCCTCCTGAGATGACATCATACAAACAAAAAGAGTATGTAAAAACTGCAATAAAAGTTTGATGACACTTGATTTACAGTCACTGTTCTTGACAGAATATACATTCTCTACTGTAAAGGTCATTCTTTGATAAGGATTATTCTGCCAGAAATAGCAATTACAAAACAGTAGAACAGATCTGAACAACTTTGAATTTGCAAATAGATAGAACTAATAGAAATACAGCTATTCCTGGGAGTTCTTACATTTCTCCTTTATTAAATTCTCATGTAAAGTGTTTATTACATCTCTGAGACATTTTTTACAGGAATATGTCACACCATCACTCTTCCTGGGGGAAAAAGAAAAAAAAAATAGAAAAAGAAATGCTCTCCATGTATATACAGAATGCAGACTTGAAGCTGATTGCTGCGTGGCGAGAAGCACACTGTGGTTACACATACATGGTAAGACTGTGGGCAGATGCCAGCTCTCTGACCATGCTCTAAGACTACTGGTTGCGAACAGCTCTGAACTGGAAGCTGTGCAATCATCTTAGATTCCCTGAATGAATTAACCGTGCAGAGGTACAGGATACAGATCCCTTCCAGTATGGTCATAAGCAACCACACGCAACTTCCTGCTTGATCTGAAAAGTCTTGTAAGAGACAATATCTGGTTCTATATACTGCCAACATTTTAACTGATTTATAGTTTGTGTTATGGTAGGCCTTATGGCATCATTTAAGATTATATGTACCATACAGACCCCCAAAGGCCTTACACTCTAAGGAAAGTGAAATGCAGAAGTCAAGAGTCTGAATACTTTTAGCAGTGAAATGTTTTTACTCTGATTAGAGAACAGAAGCACAGCGATGCTGTGGGTAGCTGCACTTCATAAGGTTACGCCAATTAATAAAGGATATTCACTGTAGACTGGCAGAATTAACCCTTGTAACTTGGTGTATGATTTTTGTATCAGTTTACCAGTACAAGAGGTTACAGATAATGACTTGCATGTATTAAGCTTAACTTTATTGTATCTTTCTGCACATAGTCCCTGTTGATCTGTAACTGCATCTGTGTACCTTATCCATCTAATCCTCATTTCTTTCTATGCTGCTTAAAAAGTCTATTCCTAAGACTTTTGTTTCTCAGTTTTACAAAATACATTAATTTCAAGAATGTCTCACTCTTTCTGTAGGTCTAGTCACATTTTAAGGATTGTGACAGTGGAGATTACTTCTTTACTTGTGTGTATAGAGGGAGCCTAGAACAAAAAAACCCAGATTACTAAACTGAAGAGAAAACAAGGTAACTTGTATTGCCCTCTGAGCGAAGAAAAACCACTCTAAACATTTTACATTCATACATATATACACACACTGGCATGCGCACACACACATACCTGTCATCATTACTTTAACAAAAGAGAAAATCCTTTTGTTGATTAATTCAGTCAGGAACTGAAAGTGCTAGGAGAATGCTATTTCTAAAGGAAGATAGATATTGAAAAAACTAATTACGTATCTTGCCCTGCCTGGAAAAAACGCGTGTTCCAAATAGGACAATGTAATTTTTGAAGCCTCTGGCATAGATGGTGGTTTCAAGTTTGGGACATTTTAATGGAAGATATTTATTGCTAGAACCAGCTTTGCAAATAACAGGATAGGAAAAATGCCATTTTTTGTGTGTTATTACTACAATTTAGCTTAGGTGAATTACACCCGTGTTAAGCTATCACAAGTGAACAGCAGCCCTGCAAAGTTATACCGGACTTGTATACACATCTAGCGTGTGTTATAAGAATTAAAACTAGCTCCTTCTGTTTCATAAGCAATCGAATACTTCCATGCTTCTGAAATCATTCAGTGCTCTGAGAGAGACACTGCACTGTGGGAATGCACTAGAGGGCTATAAAACCCTAAGAAGTTTAGCTTGCTTGTCACTGAAAAGTGGTTTACTTAACAGCACACGTGAAAATGTCCCCTGATCCCTAGACAGGTCCTTTGCCCATTTTAAAAGGAAAACAAACCCCAAACTTGATGACGAAAACTGGGGGAAGGATGACTACAGAATGAAGGGAGAATGAAGATAACATCAGGTCAGAGGAGGAGGGATGTCTGTAATAAAATGTAGTCCTAACCAAATCCTTAAATAGTAAAATGTGTGTCAGTGATTAAAATAAATGTACAAATTAGAGCATAACATGATGATTGAATTACAGTCTGAATTGGGTAGTCAGTGTGTGGTGGGTTAACCCTAGTAGGCAGCTAAGCACCACACAGCTGCTTGCTCACTCCCCCTCTCAGTGGGACGGGTGAGAGAATCAGAAGGGCAAAGCGAGAAAATTCGTGGGTCGAGATAAAGACTGTTTAATAAATGAATAAGAAAAAAAACCCCAACAACAACAAAAAAAACCCCAACCCACGAGTGATGCTAAAGCAATCACTCACTGCCAGCAGACTGATGCCAACCCAGTCCCCGAGCAATTTTTGGATAAACTCCCACCCTAGTTTTATCGCTGAGCATGACGTTATATGATATGGAATATCACTTTCACCAGTTTGGGTCAGCTGTGCCAGCTGTGTCCCCTGCCAGGCTCTTGCCCACTCCCGCCTCCTTGCTGAGGTGCACAATGAGAAACAGAAGTGGCCTTGACCCTGTATAAGGGCTGTTCAGTAACAGCTAAAATACTAGTGTGTTACCAACACTGCTTTGGTTACCAGTCTAAAAAACAGCATCATACAGGCTCCCTTGAAAATTAACCTCATCCCAGCCAGACCTAGTACACAGTGAAAAAACTCCATCAATTTCTTGTGTGTAACTGATATAATATAAATAAAATATTCTGTGTAATAAAGACAGATAAAATAATCTGTGTCATTCTACTTGCCGTCTTTGCTTCTCCGAGAATCAGAGATCCAACAAACAAAGCGCAATTTTGTTTTAAAAATATTTTTCCCGAAAATAACTTTGCTTAAATCCTGAGGATTAGAGAGCCTTATTTCTACAGAAATACTTCAAATATAAGTACTGTACACGAAAGGCTCTACACTAATAGCCTGTTGCAAAGATGGCAGCTGTTTCTGAGGTGGAGTTGCATGTGTAAATTCTCGTACTATTTTTGAAAAGTATTATTGAACGGGTAAGTGATAGAGATGCTCCTATCTCTGTTCCTACTAATTTCAAGAAGAGAATAGTCTGTCATGCTTCAATTGACAGATTTAAGCTCATCTTAAGATGTAGCTACTCTACCTTAAAAGGTAAACAGCCAGTGTACATCAAACTGTTACTTCCCTATCTGTTCACAGTTAGAGATCTGTGTAATGCTGATTAAATTTTTAATGTAGCTACTAAATTTTTAAAGCCCCAAGGTTTTCAGAATGACTGGTTTTATAAGCTTTCCATATGGATCCACAGAAATATTCACATTTATGCATATTACTTAGCACAATGCCAATCATTTGAGATCCTCTGATAATTTTGCTATATGGACATTCATTTCCTACTTCAAAGAAAAAATACTGTAATGTGCAAATAATCTGCCAATTTTTGCTTGTTAGTATAAGCCTTGCTGCCATCCCTGATTTTATAAATGTGTTTCAATCCATTAAATGAATATAAATATCAACATTACCGCAAAGCAAATCTAAGAGTTAGTGGTCAGAAGGGATATTCTTCTGGTATGACTGCATGCTGCTCCTGCCTTTATTATTCATTCCCTGTGCGGCTAGTACAACTAGTAAGTGTTCACAAATCCTAAAATTGTATGCCTTTGTGATCTTGAGAGCACTGAAATAAAATCAGTCTGAAGTTTCAGTATTCTTCATCCGATTTTGTCCTTTTTTTAAGCGGAGCCATAGCCTACCTACTCCGAACTGAAGCCTTTCTTTTCAGCATTATTTGTCCCTGGCCTGACAGCATTTTGCCCATGTTAGGCAACTGTATCTCCTTCCTAACCACTCAGCTAAAGCTGCCAAACTTCATCCTTATGCTGAGCCATGACCTTGGTATCTGACCACACCTCTGCTCCACTGCCACTGTCTGTGCTTCTCTCCTTTTCTAACACAATGAAGACGGGGCTCTGAGAACTGCTGCTCTGGGAACTTTTCTGTTACTTGTGCCCTTACTTTCATTCCACCTATGGAGCCAGTGAAAGTTATGCTTCCAATTTTTAAGTGCGGTTTTCAACCATGCATACAGATTTTAGAAATTTAGTACTAAGATTGTAAATCTTAGTGTATCAAAGACTTGGAAGTAAAGCATGATCTTACAGACAGACGCCTGTAATTCTAGGGAACTCAAAAGGACTCTTGCCATTAGATTTTTTTATTTCAGCTCAGTTTAAAAATTATGTTCATATTATTCCAATGACAGTAGCATCCTTTTTTCCCCATGTCATTCTCACTGCATAAAGCCAGTAATTTTCCTTTATGGAAGCTGACCTGTCTTGGACAAAAACAATTTATATTCATGGTGGCTGCACAATAATAAATAATAAATTTAATCCTGTAAAATTTGCGTGAGTTAGCAATGACCCAAACCCACTCCCTACAGATGTCAGTAGCAGAATTCCCCAAGGAGAAGAGTTAGGCTGGCATGAAAGGCTTGTGATGATTTCAAATTAAGCCTGTACTCTACATGATAATAAGAGATGTCAGATAATAAAATCCTAATAGCCAAGGAGCAACAAGAAAATAAGGTACACATTTACAAAGACAACAGTTTTTTACGTTAATAGCTAAATTATGTAAGAAGTAAAAGCTACGTGTAAGTAGTTCCAAATAAAAACATTGTACTTCAGAGGCAGTACTTTTCTTCTAAGAGAAAAAAATACCAGAACACTGGCTTTATGCCTGGGTTTGAAGGAAAAAGTGTGTATTTATACCAGTGGCTGACTACTTCTATTTGCACACACGGTGTAATCACAGTGTCCCATTCAACTGGAACATAGGAACCATCTTGAGGAAAATGGTCGGAGAAGTGGGATCTCAGGAGGTCTCTAGCAGAAGTTCCCTATAAAGAGTAGTAAAGGTATGAAAACTTAACAAAAATCAACAGAAGAGACTGGAGCAGCTGGAAAAGTTTTGTGATGTTTGATCACTGGGATACGCTCACTGAAGTGTTCTTGAATAATTGGCTTAACTCATGCACCAGGGAAATAGCTTTCTGAAATGACTTTAACCTGGAAAACAACAAAGAAGCTGCTACAACTCCTGTGTCTGATTCTATTACATAGGAGGAGGGTAGTTACATAACTAGGGATGCAGCGCCATACATAGGGATATCAGTGGAAGGACTCTAAAGGAAAAAAGTTTTAAGATTAGGCAGAGAAGCAGTCTAGTCAACAATACTATAACACTGTTAGGAAAAGGACTATGTCAGTTATAACTAAATAATGAACTATCATTAGCAAGAATCAGCTTGCAACAAACAATAAGAATGTGGGCAACAAAATACACCCTTGAACTAATTGATGAAGATCTAAGAGTATTATAAGCATTACACAGAGTAGTAACAACTCTTCTGGAGCACAAGGATACTTTAAGATATAATGCCTGGTAGAGTTTTAAATATGGTCATTAGGGACATGATGTAGTACAAGAGAATAAGCAGCAGTGATGGGAAAAAAAAGTCTTTTTGGATTAAAAAGTGCTTCAAGAATGGAGGATAAAAGAGGTTGTAACAGAGTTAAAAACTCGCAGGATCACACCTATTTGGACTAAGAACCTTTTTAATTATTTTTTTTAATATTCACTCATAATTACAGAAAACCTTAATGTTATAAATAACTCCTGAAGAACAAATGCAACTAATAATCATAGCACTTGTCTCATTCTCAGTCTAACAACTGACAGATTTCTCCATGAATCTTTTCTGTGTGCTAGTAGCAAACATCTAGGGTAGATTTACTAACCATCAGGAGAAAAAAATCTCTGGAACCACTCTGTGGTCCAGTCAATTCTTTAGATTCAGGATAAAACCATAATATTTGTATACCATGTCATCATGCATTTTTCTTTTAAATATATATAAAAGAAGTTACATTATATCTAACACGTATTCATCTCAAGAACAGCTGAAGTTCCAAGTTCAACCCCTCACATGCTTACATACTCCTGTGCGCACATATAAAACCACACAATTGGAACCTGACTTGCTCTGCTTCCAAACAATGGTTGGATTGTATGGTGATGTAGAGCTTGCTTTTTTCTTTTAGATGAGCTGAAAAATTGGCATATCAAAACAATAGGTTTGTTTCTTTTAAATTTTCAGCCTGCTTTACCATGTCAGTGTTCCACCACCTTTTCCTTCTTAAACCGAATTTTCAAATGCATTTCAAATTCTAGCTTCCAGTTCTTAAATACAAAGAGACTTTATTTATTTATTACTCAACTAACAATCCATTTGATCTTGATTGTTTTGTAGGAACCCAGTATTAAATTGCAACTAATTTTTCCCTGTGGTACGCATCAGTGAAAGATTCAAAGTATAAACGTTACCTGCTGACAAGAGTAATGAAAGCAGAACCATCAGCACATTCAAGGACTGTTGACCACAACTTGTCATCGTTGGCTTTCATTGGTCCATTACAGAATTACCTGTTTGACGAGATGCAACATCATGGTGAAGTTTCTGGTTCATCTTACTTTCATTATTCAAACTTTTACTTCCCCACATTTGGTAAAATGAGATGGCTTTGCGCAATAAAAAAAAAAACAAACACCATACTTTTTTTTCCTGGATTTTAAAGTGAAATAAATTATCCTTTCTATGATTTCATTAAAATTCCTTTCTCATTTTACCATGAATGTATACAGCTATTTACGTACTTTTCAGTAACCCATAGTAGAGATGAATCATATAAAGCCTTTATTGGATATCCACACTTCCCCTGTAATCTACATTCAGCAAAACTGTGCTTGTTTTACTGTCACAAGAATGGGCTATTATATTATGCCTGTAAGTACTAGAAGGATACAAACAATATAAAAAATAAATTGGCTGCTTTGCAAGTCAATCTGTTTTACCCCATTAGAGGGTGCAGTCGTTCAGAAAGTGGGTCGGCAACTGAGATGGTTGGAAATGTTTCAAAAAAATGATCAGAGCATTTCATGGGATTATTATTTCTTGTTTTCCTAGAAATGAGGGTGAGATGTGATGCACTTTGGCTGGCAGTCATCATAAAAAGGCTATCCTAGTTTTTTTCAGAACTGCCCCACAACTGCATGAGTCCTAACACATCTTATATCCACATTGATTCAACATCACCAGCTGCACATTCTACAGCTCTAGCAGACACCCCGTCCCAATGCAAGGGTTGTCATCACATCAGTAGGAACATCTAGTACCCTATCCTGTTGCCACTGCTAATGCAGACTAATGCTGGACATACAAGGTCTTCAGCATCCTGAACTCATGTTGACATTAGAGAATAATAAAGAGGTAATTTATTGGTTTGTACAACAAACTGGTAGCTTGGGCTATAAACCAGAAAGCCTAGGTGGTGCTACTGAAAGCTGGTGGGGTCAGTCTAATTCTTGGCTTGTCAAAAAAAATTGTTCTAAGGTGTTTATAGAGGAGCAACTTGGAAAAAAGAAAGGAAAATGGCAATTGTTGTCAAAATTTACACTGTTAGTTTGTGATAGCTGAAGAGTAACATGATGTCAAATGCTTATGAAATCAGTGCTATATCATATAAATACTAGGTAGTTTACTAGTAGGTGTCTACTACAATCTACTGAATCAAATTAAAATCCCAAGACAATTGCATCTGCATGTAACAAAAGGGGAACGGGTGAAAATCAACATTATCATGAATAACTAAATCCTGAGGAACATATGTGGGCGCAGGAGTGGAGACACAGTGCTATCTAAAAAGCGTTTAGAGACAAAACATTTGTCACTAACAAAAAAATGCTATGTCTGGCACAAGCAGATTCTCTAAGAAGTCATCTTAGCATATGAAAAACAACAGATCACAAACCTAACAATCAATGTAACTTTTGTACAAGAAATCATGATAGTTTGCACTGTTATCTGCAAGCTTGAGTAACATCCAAACCACTACATTTTGTAGCTTTAAAATAAGTCATTTCTTCCAAGGGGAAAACAATTAGAAATAATAACACCATAAAGAAAAAAAAAAAGGTGCAGAAAACTATGAATGCTGATTAAGAATATTTCTCTAAGCACCAATCCTGTTTGAAAAAGCCGCCACCTTTTTTCAGAACAAACATCAAAATAATTAAAACAGCAAGCAGACTTAAAGTTAGATTTGCTAAAAAATAATACTGAATATGACGCAGTGGTTAAGAATGTAGGAGTTTAATCAAGAAAAACAGATACAAAGAACAAGCTATTACCAATATTATCAGCAATAAAAGGAATAGGATTTTTTTCTGAATAAACCAAGGCTGCAGGAATTCTGATAGTGATTCATTACTAGAGGGAAATCTTGGCTTTAGTAACAGTTAATTAAAAAGAGATCAATAAGCACTTCTGTTGTGTATCTGGGAAGGGACAGATGTTTGGTATAGCTGAGACTATTAAATATTTCCATATCAAGAATAATTTAGGATGACATTAATGAGTTGATACTAAGGTTTGTAATTTGATATTTCCAATTCTGTGTAATTTGTATCCAGTTATTTTAGAAGAGCTGGCTGGGGGACATACATATCCTTTTTTCAGTTTGTTGGGAAACTATGGCAGCTTTCAGAGGACCTGAAGAAACCTAAGCACACTTCTAAAAGTAAATGAGATAATCCAGGTAATTACAAGCTTGTGAGAGTGATGTGGATCTACAGAAAGTTAATGGAATGGTTAATATAGAATCCAATTACTAAATAATGAAGAAGAGTAATATAATTAATGCATATCACTATGGGCTTATCGTAAAGTAAATTTTATTTCTCTCAGTGTTGTTGTTGATGAAGGTAGCTTAGAAATAGTAATAATATAGTAGATTTCTGTAAAATATCTCACTTACTAGCATGCAATTTGACCAGGCAGTGAGAATGATGATTAAAAGAAAAAAAAAAAAAAGGCGTATCAGTTACAGAAGACTAACTCGGACTGGAAATAAGATGCATGTTTTTTGAAAAGTACAGTCTTGGTAGTAATTGAGTACATACAGCCTTAATCAGTCCTGTATGTAGAAATCTAGAAGCTTTTCAGGGAGGGGAAGATTTATTCAATTATGTCCAATAGAACTGGCAATAAAAAAAATTGGCATTTTAATCCAAGTCTTGTGATGCTTGTATTTTATTAAGTGCCAGCTGGGAAGATCAGAGCGAGAGACTAGAACACTAGAGCCACACATCAAAGGCCAGGAGAGTGACAGAATCTGTGTACATGTATACATATCTGTGATGACAGGAAAATGCTCCAATTTTATAACTACTGCTTCAGTGAACATTAAATTGAATATGGCCATTTTTAGGAGGACAGAGATACAACTAACCATTCACTACTTGATCACTTTGAAATTTTTTTTTCCATGCTGTTGTTTGACTAGATCAGTCATATTTAGTGCAGTATCATGAGAGTGTCTCTGAGCAATTAGAGCTTAATCAGCCAGGCAGCAGACATGGGCAGGAGAACAGGTACCATGCTAAAAGAAAGTGCCTAGATTGTACAAAGTATTTCCTAATGCTAGGCCAGAGAATAGAGATGATAGAAACACGGTAATTAGCAGTGATTTAGCCGAATAATTTTTTATGATTATTATTAGTCCAGACTAACAGGGCACTTTAAAATTAGAGAATTGTATTTGAAGGAAAAAGGAAAGGCAGATTTGGTTGTAGTTTGGTTGGGTTTTTTTTTTAAACAAAATTCAAGGTTAAGAGATTAGATTTTCTTTCCAGTTCTGTAAATCAGCGATTAGAAGGGTGGTCTAATGCACCAATTTTAATTTTTAATGTAGCATTTTAAGCTTATTTGTGGTCACTGTGGAGGGAAGGAGAATGGTCCATCCTTTTCCATATCCTTTGAGATTCCTAGACTCACACCACCTCCTCCCTTCTGGTAGCAATCACAAGTATCTTTGCAGCTACATCATAAAGTAGACTAAAGAAATGGTTGAGGAATCACAGTTTTAGAGGCTTTTTTTCACTCTGTGTTTCAACATGTCTACTATGAAATAGAAGAAATGGTCCTTACATTTTTTAAGTGCTTTTCTATCTTTTCCTGGAATAAGGATTATGTTAGGAATTATTGCTTCCCCTTGCAGAAGATGTAAGAATGAATGATTCAAAGAGAGCAACATTCAGAGGAAAGGTGCTGTAATGTTATGATCAAGGAGAACAGAAATTAATATGAGACACAGCAGGTGGGTGGCTTTTTGTTTCTGACGACAAAGAAACTGCAATTGCACTGTAAATTCTAATCTCACCACCACTATAGAAACTGAACTCGTTTGCCTTTAACCTCTCTCCTCACCATGGATTTCAGGTGCACAGACCAGATATATGTATCAGATCATTACACCAGATTTTACTTTTTACTTACACACCATGACATTTTAGCTCTTACTCTGCTGCTACGTACATTACTTTCATTACCCTTACAGCTTTATCTAGCTGTCTTTTCTTGAAGGGAATCAGTGAATCATTGGCAAGAAAAGCTGCAAAGAGAAATAACCATTTCATGTGGCAAGATTCTTATGTAGAAATAATTTTCCCCTCACTTTGAAGGAAGAGAAAAGCTATGCTTAGAAGAGAAGTTTGAAAAACGTTGCACATTTTGCATTTTTTGGTTATTAGAAAGAACAAAAGGAACTAGCAAAAGAATTTATTAAATACATCAGCACTGCCTCACAAACTGGCTCTCTTTATAGAATAACAGAAAATAAGGCGATTCAAGAGATCATTTAATCCATCTTTCTGTCAAAGGATTAAGTACATCTAAACCATTCTTAGCAGGAGTTCACAGAATCTCCACCACCAGAGGGGTTTTCCAGCCTTCTCAAGCAATTCCCTTCCAGTGTTTCTGTAACCACAAGGCTAGAAAGGTTCTCCTGTGTCTAACTTGCAGCTCCTTTGCTTTGATTAAGCCCATCCTCTCCCCAGTGCAGCTGGAGTATGTTTTACCTACAGATACATTTATGACACCTCTCTTTGCATCAGTCTTTAATTAATACATACAAAAAGTGTTATCATATCTTCACTCAGCCTTTTCTCAGGCTTTCCTTAAAAACCACATATGCTATACCTCCTATACCCCCTCTTAAATTTGGCTCTACACCTCATGGCAAGGTTGTGCATGTAACTTTAGTGTCCTTTAGGTTTCAGTTGTTTGTGTTTTCTTAGTGACCAGAAAGTCCTAATAAATACCCCTACAGCTGCCAACTCTTCCAAGGTAAGTAAAATCACAGCATTACAAAAGTGCAGAGAGCCATAGAGCTTCTGCTAATTGTCATAGTTAATCAAAAGATACATAGATACATCACTGTTATACCAAGATAAGTACATCCACATACAGATATAACTATACAGGGAAAAACATACCACCACATGTGACACAACTGAGGGTGATTCCCTCTTTTCACACTAACGTCCAGCAGGCTT